AAAATTTCAGTTGGTGTAACCAAATAAGAACCAACTGAAAATTAGGTGATCAGAAGCGATATCTCTGTTATGAAAACTAATATTTCTGTTGTCGCAACAGAAAATATTCGTCTGAACATTCAACGATATTAGAACGGTTGAGGACAATTATACAGAACTATACAGAAACCTCATAAAGGAATTTTTCTGTTCCTACAGCCGAGTTTCCGTCTGATCTCTGAGCAATCGAAAATTCGGTTGCACCAACAGAATTGTTTTTTCCGTGTGTGTATATATATATATATATATATATATATATATATATATATATATATATATATATATATATAATATATTTTTTTAATTAATAAAATGTTTAATGAAATTTCCATTTTTGTTTTGCGAAGACTCGCGACTAGCGGAGGATTAATGTGATTTACTATTCCACATATAGAAAATTTCTTTGGATTTAACTGGGATCTGTAGCCCGATTCGCTAAAATAATTACATACTTTGACCTAAAATAGAAAATCTTCTAGAATTTAATTGGAATCCATTTTGATTTTTAGGAAAATAAATATGGTTCTGACTGGAAATATGGGTTCTAATTGAAAATTTTACGAAAATTTATATTAGAAATATTAAATTTATATTAGAAATATTAAATTTATATTAGAAATATTAAATTTATATTAGAAATATTAAATTTATATTAGAAATATTAAATTTATATTAGAAATATTAAATTTATATTAGAAATATTAAATTTATATTAGAAATATTAAATTTATATTAGAAATATTAAATTTATATTAGAAATATTAAATTTATATTAGAAATATTAAATTTATATTAGAAATATTAAATTAATGTTTTTTTATTGTTTTTTCTAACCTTTATTTTACATTAGAATTGTACAAGACATATGTAGATTTTCTAAAAAAATTTTCGGTAAAAACTTTAAGTGTTTTAAAAATATTTTATTCTATGAATGCAGTAGTTGGGATTTCAACTCAAAAGTGGGATTCCCAATTTTATATTGCATAAAAGTATACCGACGTTACACACACTAACTGAAGAACACGTGAGTTCCGTTTTTATTTTGAACAGAGAACCTGTGCTTGCGGTAAGAATGAAATTATTAGTTGGTAATCGTAGTGAGTTAATCAAATTTAGGCCGGATTTAGCTGGTCCAAGAGATATGGTGCTTTGTTTATGTATTTATCGTGAGAGGAACAGGAAAACAAAATTGCGAAATGTTTCTCTTAGAACATAGAGTAGGAAGTTCCAATACCTGCAGGATACTAATAACTTTTTATCTAATTCTAGACATTCTTACTATTTTGATTTTTAAATATAAATATTTAAATTTTCCATGTAGAATATATGTGTATATATATATATATATATATATATATATATATATTTCTTGTATATTGAAAATTCAAATATTCGTATTTAAAGGCCAAAACAATAAAAATGTCCAATGTTATTAGTGTCCAGACATCAGTACTTTTATTTAACTTTCTCTTGAATTTCATTAAACTTGCGATAATATTAAAGTTAAAAAAAACTAAGAAAATTGGTTTAGGAGCAGCCAAGTGTATTTTTGAGCATATAAAAATTTGATATTAATATTCTTCATGAGTGAATAAACCTTAACTGACATGTTATTAATTAGAATGAAGTTTCCTGTAAGTGTTATGATATCCTGTTTCGGGTAATAAAAACAGTTTTCATTGATAAAATGATTAAAATTGAGCTTGGATAGGCGCGAGGTAAAGTTGACTTAACTACAGGGCTGTGGAGACCTCTTGCGGAAATTCCGGAACTGCTAATCAGGATACGTACTTTATGTGTGATCTTACCCTGAGTCGCTAGCCAATTTGATCCGCTACCAAAGCAAGATAGCCACGTTGCATGTTTGTATTTCGGTTATTGCAGGAGAAAATATACGGTTAACGGAATCGTTGCGAGTATAACAATATAGAGGAAGGTTGTCTCTACCATGTTTCTGTACAGTCAGTCACAACAATTAGTTGCCTGAGAAGTTGTAACTTCAAAATTCTGAAAAAAATATATCATCCGGCCTGCCTTAATCGGAATCTTGAAAAATTTCTGTGTGGGTCATTATTTTGCAATTCTTTCGTAATCCATTCTTCCAACTTGCTATATTGGAATATGCTAGACTTTTCAGTTAAGTAATTGATACACAGCAATCAACATTTTGATCTCCGCGATTTTCGTGTTTCACTTGATCGGTAATACCCGTGACGATAGCGTGTCGTGCTCCCAGAATATAATACCGTGCGGGAAACCCGATGAGATAAATTGCGAAGAGACTTTTCTCGCGCCGCTGTGCGCGCTCACTGGAATGATTTACACGGCGGCGTCCAAGTTTTCTCGCTCGGGCATTCCTCGGCCGGGCGGAATGAACGAATGAAACGAACGAGAGCTCCGTTCCGGAGCAAGAAAAAACAATTATCGCGAAAACCGCATTCATTAATAACGGATAACGTATCATTGCATCGCGTCACGCAGATATTCAAGTAGAACCGGTCGGAGCTAACTCGATATGCGAATCTTTCAGATAAGCACGCATCGTCAAGTAAATCAGACCCTCTCTCGTTACACGCGTATTCTTAATGCAATATCCCGGGATACGGACTACAATCAACTACGGATCTTACAGCCAGCGCTAAAGATAATGATCCCGGCGCCCGATAAGTATTAATAGTGCGAGCTAGTTGTGCCGATCCACACTCGGCCACAAAGCGAAGAGACGTCCTTCCGTTTCTCGTTCCATTATATTAAGTGCCCCTCTTTCTCCATCTCTCTTTCGCTTGTCGATTCGAAGCTCGATACATTTGATACGTGCGATGCATTCCGCAGCGCGGAACTTGATTTTTGACGATCGCAAAACAACGCTGCCGAGGCCGCGTTTCCGATCGCGAATGCGCGCCGCTAAACTGTAATTATCACGAATCCATCTTAAGAAGCGATCACATATTCTTCTTGCTACATGATATTACCGATGATCTACAGTACATTGAAAATTGTAGTCTTCCGCGGCGCACGATCGCGATCTTCTTGATCCACGTCCAGGGTAATAAATCTGCCCTAATGTTGGGTTGCGAGAAACAGTTATCGGAGTCTTGAAATTTATCGGACCTTTAACAATTTTCCGCTATTATCGTCAACGATTATTAACAATTCTTTTAATCCCGACAATTCAACACCACAGTTTTTTGCAACCCGACATTAACGCGCGCCGCGATCAGTTTAGAAGGCATTTCGCACTCTCGTGCTGCACACGCGCGGATCCTGAGACGACGCATTGTCTCGGAGTGCGATTTCGCCAATAAATCCTATGCGCTAATGTTACGTTGTGCGCGGATGGATAATTGAGACTCTCGGATTTATCGTCGCCTGGCTAATAGTCTCGATGATGCGTTTGGCATTCGGTTGCAATTGGTGTAATTTGAAGCGTTAGTAAGCAATTCTTAACAGCCGTCGCTTTTTGCACGAGGCCTCTCAGAAGCCACCCGCATAGAAGTTTTCCAAGATCTTTCCAGTATGAATTCCCATTGGAATACTCAAATTTTTCTCAAATTGGTCTCCCCACTGCGATATCCAATTGGAAATTCTATTCAAACGTGGCTTTTCTATCGAAACAGAAATACTGTGGAAACTTTTTTCAGTCAGTATCAAACGGGGAGTCTCATTTTTCTACCAACAATTGCATTCAATAAACTAAAAAAATATAGAATAAAAAATATCTTTTTAATACACTGAATATAAACGGTATATTAACAGATTCTCTAAATATACAATTAAAATGAAAGAAAATTTGGTTAGTAAGATCATAGATATTAATGCGAGTATTTATTGGAAGGGTAATGTTTGACAATGTAATAATGCATGCGCTCTATATTTTTCCGAAATTAACGTACACTGGGAAATAAATGTTTTATATTTGTAATTATAATCATATACAGAATATAGAGATATAGAGATATATAGAGAAAAATAATTACTATAAATCATAATGAAGAAAACTGTTCTTTCATTAAATTCTACGTAATGTTAGTGATAATAACTTTATATGCATGTTACTACCATTTCTGTGTTAGGACAACCAAAAAAAAATATCGTTTAGGAAAACAATCATAATTTTATTATTAATAAGATCAACCATTTTTTCCTATCTACTAATTTATCTTTTATGTCAAAACTAACTTTGTATTCCAATTATTAATATTAATTAATCTTGCTATACTATCTCAACTATTTCGACACGCATTATCTTAAACGATTCTTCTTAAATGTTGTGTAGTTTACCTCGATTTCAAATATTCCTAATCAGAACCCATATTGCAAAAAATTTGGTATTAAATTTAATATATCTTGATTTATCCACCCTAATTTTTGTGTTTATCACAAAGCAAATATGTAAACAAATAAATAATATAAATTGGAAATTAACACAAAAGTGTAACACTTAGACATTATTGTATTATTTTAATACTTATAAATGGCGAATACGAATTCAACGCAAAATAGTTAAAATGACAATGAAATGACAATAAGTTAAATTAATACACGGAGTTATGTTGAAAATTTAACACGAGAATTTCCAGGCAGATTTTAGTTCGATTTCCTTCTCGATTTTAGCTCTTACAATACATTTTTTTACCGGGTGGTATTAAAACACGCCGCTGCATGGTTAATTGCTCGCTCGAACATCAATACCAATCGATATATGCGTATACCATAACGACTGCGAGATCTTCAATGAAAGCATCCCTTTGATGCCTTTGATTTATCGTGCGGTATTATTGAGTATCATTGTCTTCTCGTGCCTCTCGATGGCTATGTTCTTGATGCGTTCCCACATCATCGGATACTGATAAATCGTTCTGACAAAGTCGATGCGGTCCAGACGATACAGCTCGCAGATCTCGACGGCGACGACGCTGGCCACTCTGCGCTCATCCGGCATCACCAGCGCAATCTCCCCGAAATGCGCGCCGTCCTCCAAGTGGCATACTTCTTTGCCGGAACTCGTGTAAATTGCCACTGTGCCGTTGGCGATGAAGTACATGCAGTCGCCTAGCTGATTGACTCGCACGATCACGTCGTTGGTCAAGAATATCTCGGACTTGAGCAGGTTGACGATGCGCGCCAACAACAGGAAGGGTAGATTGCTGAAGAACGTCACGTTCTCCACGAGCTTGCGGCAGGCATGCATGCCGATCTCTTGGCGCATCTGCATGGACAGGGTGTTGAGGATCTCGCTCTCGCGGAAGTATTGGTGTTGAAAGCGAAATTCGTAGTATGCCACGATGCGACGCTGAGTCGAGCGTGGTAGCTGCCGGTGCCTCATGTATCGCTTCAGTTGCGCCATGCTGCTGTGATACTTGATCCTCGAGCTGTTGGCGCCCTTGAACAGCTGCATCACTCGAGCCGTCAGGATGTAAATCGTCAAAGTACCTAAGATCTGCAGGACGATCAGCAACGTGAGGTCCGCTTCGTTTTTCGGCTTGCTGTGCAGACAGCCCGATTTCATGAAGATGGGCACGGCGCGCAAGAGGCACAACAGGTATTGTCGACCCTTGGGTGCCTCCCAAAGGTTCTTCTCGTGTATCCAAGAGTCGTTGCTTGGACGTTCCAGCAGACGGATGGAGGTCGTGGCTATCGGTACCAGCCAATAGAGACAAGACTGCCAGTGCAAGGTGATCGCCAACCAAAATATTATCACGCAGACGTTGTAAAAGGTTATCGGAACGTCGTAGGCGAGGGCGATTTTTCTCATGTATGAAGCGAGAGAGAACACGCGAAACAGGCACATCAAAGACGCTAGCTCGCGAGCGACTTTGTACTCCCACCATATTTTACTGAAGGCGATATCAGTTGGCAGGGAACCCAGCAGATCTGTCACGAAGCTGCCATGTCTCAGATACCTCTTCATTATTTTCTTCGGCTCCATTACAACGCTGTGCTGTGTATTGTCGAGATATCTGTCCGACAACAAATAAAGAAGTCTTCGATTATGACGAGTTTTAAGTTTTGAGATCGCTTCTCACACAGCAGAAATGTTCTAAATATATCATTGGGATATGCTAAAGATATCGCAACATTTCTAGGATATCCACATGATATATTTTGAACATTTCTGCTGTGTAGGTTGTTTGTAAAGCGAACTCTTTACCCTGTTGTGAAATTAACGGCTATGTCCATGCAGCAAATGAAGAGCAGGGAATTTTTGAAAATTGTCCAACAAAGCGGGCGTTCATGAATCTCAAAGACTGCCTGATACGGAACAGCCAAAAATAAACACGTCATCGTGAAAATCATTGTAAAATCCCAATAGTGCCTGTGCCATGGAACATCTGATTTAGTCATATATGTTGTAGATATGAATGTTGGAAAGAAATCATTTCTTCAAATAAATAATTATTGCGATGCTATATAACTATGGTCGTTGAATTATAAATAGATACGCATGTATGTATGTATGCCTTTGATAGAGATAATGTATTTACACATAAATAAGAAACATAGAAAAATATATATATTGCATTCTAGTAAACGTTACTTGTTTCAGGTATTTCACAAGTTTATATATCCGCAAATCTATTATAAGATTATTAAAAATATCAAATTTATTGAAAATATATTTTGAATCTTAGTAAGTTTAACATTTCAAATAAAAAATATTAAATTAAAACAAAATAAAAATTTAGTTTATACACAGAAAGATAATAAAATAAAAATAAAAATTTAGTTTATACACACTGAAAAATAAGATAAAAAATAGTAAATATTTATTCGATGGGTGCTATATAATAACATATCTAGTTATACTAATGTAAAATAATTTTGAAATAAGAAAATATTACATTTTCTAAAAATTTTAAGAAAATTTTAACCTTTTATAAAAGCAATTGTTTATTTTACTTTAGATAAAATAATTCAGTACTGAAGTAAAAATATGTTATTAGTATCCACCAAATAAATATTTATTATTTTTTAGATATTTTTTAGTGTAGAGGCAAACTAATCTTTTTTCGATAAAGTTTTATAATATTCTTCTAAAGAGAATAAATTCTTCTTTTGAATGCATAATAATGAGTTTTCCTAGAATTCCTGATGAATGTATTTTGAAACTATTATCAAAAAAATATTGTGTGTTAAAGATATTACTTAAAACAGAAGGAAAGTAAACTGAGAAATTGCTTTTCTTAGCTGTAGATATGATATAATATATAATAATATTTTTTGTATGTAACATTGTCACGAACAAGTTTAACTTTTCTTAACTCATGTATCGGTCTCTCAGACCGGCGAGACACAAAATCGACGCTTTTCTGAAACCACAAACGTTATCGCGTAAACGGAGCAGTTTAATTAGAAATTAAAGTTCACGTCAATAACACACTTTTAATATATGCCATTTTTTCCACTTAGAAATTAGACTCGCAGATTGAACACGAGTCTTTGCGCATTAGAAAATCACGTGAGCCAAGGAAGGTTAAAAGAGTTATGGAAATTTGTTAATGAAAATATGCACCTGAGGATACTGAACGGATGCAGGATGTATTTATAATTACGCAAATGTCGTCGCTTTTCGGAGATTATAGTGGCGCGACTACGTAAATACTTGCGAGTGCCTGGATTTTTGTCCGATGCCATCAGTAAGTGGCGGAAAGCATCTAACGCTCGTTGGAAGAGACCGCGATCAGAAAGAAATAGTATATCTTCATATTTGGTAGTTATCTCGCACTCATGCTCGACACGAAGCATTGTGTTAATTAAATGTATCAAGGACGATGCGTAGAGGAAGGGTGAGCTTCACTAAATGTATATTTTTAATGTATATTTTTAATGACAGAGATATCATTATGTGAGCACACTCGCATGATAAAACACGTATCATTCACAATGGCGCCATCTCTTCAGGTTCAAAAGAAGCGGCTCCCTTCAAGGTAGGTATAGATGAACGTGGTCGGTAATGTAGTTTCGTACCAATAGTTGATCCCCAACTCGTCAGGTTTCAGTCTGCGCGCGCTGGTTTCTCCTCTGTTCGTTTTTACCTACCAACGATAACATACCGTGTGCGATTCTTGTAGTTAAATAATCTAAAATACAATACCAGCAAGGAAAAAGAGACCTAACAATCTCTTCGTTGGTAAGATCTGACCTATTGTTGTTTGCAGTATATATACAACATGTGATAACATGAAACAACATAGGTGTCTGAAAAGCGCCATGAAAATGCCTAAAAGATACTAAAAACGTCATAAACTCTTTAAAAGGCGCTCTACTTTTTCTAAATGTTTTTTAGACACTTTTATGCGAGTAGCAACAGTCTGCTGGTAATATTTAATCCATTGTTATTTGCACGTGTAGTGTTACTTTTTCCTTTACGGAAACAGCACATTTTTCCTGGTTAACTATTTGATGAAAATAATGAAGAGTGTTTGAAAATACACGCGAACATAAAATGTTTTTTTTTTTCACTTATGACTAATGACGCGATCTATACACGAATTATTATTTTAGCAAAATTGTGTTTTATTACATTACGTTTGCCATTGCTTTAAATTTATTTTGTGCAAAATTTGGATATTGTATAACACAAACAGTTTTGGATCTACTATTTTAACATTAAATGTGTTGATTTTCGCTAATTAATATTTGGTCTAAAATGTGGAAAATTATATTTATCTAGGAATTTAAACGCGTATTGCGTGTGTCGAGTAATTTGTGAAATTTTACGCTCGCAAATATAAATGCGTTTGCTAATATGTGCAACCATCTTGAAATTAATATCATGCAATATGCACGAGGCATCATATTTCTCCAGGGTTGGGAACGTTACTTTTTAAAAGTAACGCGTTACAGTTACCGTTACTTGCGGTAAAAAGTAACTCGTTACCGTTACTCGTTACTGATTCTAAAAAGTAACGCGTTACCGTTATTTGAAAAGTAACGATAAAAAAATTGTTACTTTCCTTTACTTTTGTAAAAAAAAAGTTAAAATCAGCATATAAAATGAATAGTAGAAGAGACAGTACATAAATTATACATATATAAAGACAAAATATAAGATATTTAAGCAGGTAGCACACATTATTGCATAACGACATAAAGCCCATTCTACATTAGTCGAAAGTCGCAAGGTCGCAAAGAAATTGACTAATCATAATCGATTGTTCTTCTTGCGATCGAAGAATAATCAATTATGATTGGTACAATTTCCTTGCGATCTTGCGATTGCGACTAATGTAGAATGGACTTTAGGCGCCGCACACGAATTGACATAACAATAAGATGTACTGTAAAAATGTACCAATTACAATCGAGTATTCACAAAAATGGCGATCTTACGGTTCGACGATACTCAAAGTGATTGGTCAGTTCTTACGGTACGTCTTACGTTACTGTTATGTCAATTCGTGTACGACGCCCCTTAAGTGTAGTCTACAATGAGAACTTAAGCCATAAAATTTAAGCTTTAAATCCTAAGCTGTAAGAAGTTAACCGATCACAGTCAATTATAAGAAAAATAATTTCTTACGGCTTAGAGATTAAAGCTTAAATTTTATGGCTTAAGTTCTCATTGTAGATCACGCTTTAGAGGCTTTCTACAATAAGCAATAAATTTTAAGTCGCAATAAAATTGACCAATTACAGTGGATTATTCTTCTAATAGTCGACTATGATTGGTCAATTTTATTATGACTTAAGATTTATTGCTTATTGTAGAATGGGCTTTACGGAAAGCAGCACATTAATTGTTTATCGTGTGCAAACTTTCATCACGTGGCAAGCGTTGCCGCGTTCTGTGTACAGAAGCCATCATAGTAAAAAGTAACGATATAAGTAACGATGAATTTCGTTACTCGTTACTAAAGAAAATGTAACGCCGTTACTTTTTCGTTACTGATACAAAAAAGTAACGGCGTTACCAAAAAAAAAGTAACGTCGTTACAAGTAACGCATTACTTCCCAACCCTGCATTTCTCATACGTTCCGTGGAAACGAATAGTCGTCGATATAATTTGAAAGTCGTACGTATCGTAGCCGATGAATTCCGGCCACGAACGGTCAGTTTAGTTTTAATATCTTTGACAGCTAATTTCCATGAAATATAAACATATCAAGCCTTCCGTGCGAATGGAAAAACCTTATTTCCAGGGAATCACAGACGAGTTGAGTCGCGAATCGATAATCGTTTTTATGGAATTGAAATACTCGTTATACATACGTAAGGTGAATGTCCTAATTAGTGCGGAAGTAATCTCATCATGAAAATAGATTAATCAATGTATGTGTTAAGCTAAGCACACAAAATAGATTAATCAATGTATGTATTAAGCTAAGCACACAAAACTGATTTTGTTAGAAAATTTAAATATTTGGGTTTTTATTTGTATGTTATATTCTTATAATTTATGTAGGGACATTTTACTTTATTTATAATATTTTCTCAAAAGTGGCTGAACGTATTGTTTAGTGACATGACAGTTTTGTCCTAATTTGTGATATAAGGTGAATATCCTAATTATTGACTAAGTAATTTCTCATTGCAAAAATAAATGTATGAGCTTGTTAAAAATAAGTGATCACACACACATACATATTCATACATTACTCGAATATTACGAGTCGGTACAAAATCATAAATTTATTATTAAATTATTACTGACTCAAAAACATGGCAATTTATGAGATAATAATTCACATTTGCATTATTTAATAAATTCCGGGGAACCAAGTTATGATTTTAATGTTTTTTCTAAATTTTATAATGAATAATTTACATTGGTTTTTTTCAGAAATAGAAGCGTTCGTATCATTTTATGTCGTATTCAGGTTGTCAATAATAGGAATAATAAATATTCTAGTATCGATTATATATATATATATATATATATATATATATATATATATATATATATATATA